GGGTTTAGATTGAATATTGAAAAAGAATTAAAGTTCAAAAATCAAGATTTCCAAAGTTTTTGTTAGTGTGTTGCTTCGGTTTCTTGCGTGATCTCTTCGTCAGTGACTTAAATCTGATCTCTAAAATTCTTCTAGGAAGTTTTCGGCATTAATAGTATTATTATTAACAATAATACCAATAGTAACAGTAATGGAAGTAGGTTTAGAAGGAATGTGAATTTTTCCAGTCCGGATGTCCGCTCTCATCAGAAGTGACGCCGTTCACGCGACGACTGTCCAGGCATGGTGTGACCTACACCGCTCGGGTGAATGTCTCTCTGCTGGAACGTCTTCCGATCGTTCGATTTCAGTGCTTTGTTGTGGCCTGTGGTGATCAGTGCCTTAAAGTGGGTTCAATTCATTCAATATAAACCATTTATGACAAAAGTGCATACTTACCGTGCTAAATTTTTATTTTCTGCTTTTTCATATTCTTCACAGCAGGGTGTAATGTGAAACGCAACCACTCTGATGCTGAGATGCCTGCAAAACTTTAACCCTTGGCCAGATCGAACCGCGATTACTCTTTCCACGGGCGCTCGTTAAGCACGGCATCACTGAGGCCTTTGCTTTGCTTTTTTATTATGCCAAACTTTATTATTCTAATTGTTTACTGTTTATGTATTATTAACTTAACTTTAAAATCCTCTGTAATTAGCTGTTTCACTTCTACTCCTTTCAATTCTAGTCCGAGAAGCATCATAAAGGTCTCCTTCCAGTGCTGTGATTCACTAGAGCTGCGCATTTTCTCCGCTTGCTTACAAGATATTTAAGTATCAAGTTTTTATAGAAAGTAGTCATCTTCTACAGTTTTTCCTGAGAGTATAGTTAAAATAGCTCGCAAGTAGGAATAAGTCTGTCCGAGCGGAGAAAGATAGTCTATTTTCTGAATCCAGCTGCTCTTAGGTTAAATGCATTGTCGTTTTTGGTTAGCATTCAACCTTCAACCAGAAAATTGACGTTGCTCCATAAAGTTTCTTCTCTAAGACACTTAAGATCCTTAAACGAAGAAAATTTAAGATGAAATAACCTTATCCTTATTATGCCCCTTGCCATTGGATGTCCAATTACCAGAACGAGTATCAGCAAAGTGTCCACTTCTCAGTTTCCTGCCGGGGTTGCTCATTGGGTTCTCTTTGCTTGGAGAACATAAAAAGTATCATACATTGTTTCCAATCATCGTTAAGAATTCTGACCATCTTATGGGTAGACTTCTTGTTTTGCGTTTGACATCCTCTGGGACTCAATCGGCGACAACTTTTGCCAACTGGTCCTCGTTAAAGCCCTTCATTTATGCAAACCATTTATGGTCAAGAATATTTATTTTGAAGTAATGTTACCCTGACCAACTTTGTTTTATTTCCAAGTTGAGAATAGTCTTTATGTAGTCTTAGTTATAGTGTCTAAAAATTGGCAGCAAGCGAAGTAATGTTAATGGCCCCCTTCTTTACGCCTACGGCCGAACCCATTCAGGCCGTGCTTCGACGCCACACCGAGCAGACCAAGCCTCTAATCCCCTGGAGTGAGGAAATTGGTACGAAAATGGTTTAGAGCAAGCTGACTTCTTCCAGTACACACGGGAACGCCCCAAGCTGGTTGTCTCAGGACTCCTGGGAGCATCGACTTGACCGGCACTCAACGACATTTGGGATGAAAATGAACAAATTCTCAGGCACAAGCAGCAGACGAAACCACACATAAAAGTTGGAACACCTTCGTGGATGATGGATTCAAAGGAATGAATCGAATGCAAGAATTGCCAGGATCCGCAGTGTTGTATATGTAATATCGGGTGACGCAACAATAAGAAACAAAAAAGTCCTAAAAATTGTGCCAGTAGGGGAAATATCGGAGATCTAAATAAAGAATAAATTTGTAAACCAGCGTCGTAAAAACTGCGTGTCAACTTTTTTGCATGCTCGTATCTTTTTCCACTGCGGTTTGCTCTGTTTGCTTATTCATTTGCAAGAAGAGCGTGTGTAGCGCAGTAACTCGAGGTGCTTTGCCATTCACATGGTCGTTGCTTTAATCACTAGACCGGACTAACCAAACTTTTCGTCTCTTCCAAGGTCAGCAATTTGGGCTTTTCTGGAAGGGTAAAAGTAGTAATTTAAAATGTATCACTACGCCACTGCAATTCATCGACCTGTAGGGCCTATAGGATAAGTAAGTGTCTTTTCTCCTCTACAATGATGTGAATGGGCCCGAATGCATAGCGCTTTAATGAACGCTTGATGTCAAATGCTTTATCTTTCATCCTTCACCATTTTTCTATATTACCTATCATCAAGTAATGTGTGAATACCAGTATCTGTTCTTTTAAATTCGTCACCTTACACCTGTCATTCACTAAGGTCTTCAAACTTGTAATGAATTCATCTGCTATTTGATTATCTCGTGTTCTATTTCTTCCTCTATTACTATACGGATTGATCATTCTTCGGATATCGAGATAGTATTCGTAAAGCGTCTAAAGATTGTGGGTAAGAAAAAACTTTACCAAACAAACATGATGTCATTTTTCTGACCATGTAAGTGCGAAGCGCTTTGTTGGCCCAGTGCCTGGTCGAGACATCCGCCACGGATTTGTTGCACGGCATCTTCAACCACTACTGACGAAGCACGTGCACTTTTGTACATTACATGCATTACATATATATATATATATATATATATATATATATGCATATCTACATGTCTGTATGTGGTGACGGCTTGGGGATAGTGTAGTGCTTAGTGATGCAGTCTATTAGGAAACAGTGTTGTTTGACTCCCTCCCTAACGCTCTCCTCCAGTCCACTTGGGGACGCCCTAGCACGGCTCTCTTCAAGATTACAAGGAGAATCTTGCTGGTACATCTTGCAGTAACTGCCACAACCGACTTTCTATTAACCTTGGCATTGATCAAGTGATTTTCTTCGTATTTTTGTTGAGCAAACGCGAGGTGTTATTATTCTTTGTTCACGATTAAGCTGACGTTTCGGCGGATTTCACCTTCCTCAGAGCCGCTTCCTATGAGGTTTCCACTAAGTATGTCACGTAGAGACCATCAGGAAGACCATCAGTATGTTCGTAGATAATGACATTGTACTTCCACGTGATTTCTGTGCGGTTGGTCTCTACATGACATACTTAGTGGAAACCTCATAGGAGCGGCTCTGTGGAAGGCGAAATCCGCCGAAACGTCAGCTTAATCGTGAACAAAGAATAATAACACCTCGCGTTTGCTCAACAAAAATACGTAGAAAATCACAAGGAGAATCGTCTCGACCCGCATTCTATACCATTCTTAAATAAGACCAAATAATCAAAGAACGACTCAAATGTTCGAAGACCCTTGTGGATGATGAATGCATGGGAAACAAATCGAATTCAAGAGGCGCTGGGATCCGTCTAGTAAAGGTGATGACGAGTCATGTGAAATAAAATGCCGATATACAAGCGTATGTCACGGATTTGATATTTTTTCCTGAGATTGAACCCGGTGCACGCTAAGAACGAATTCATAGGTGCATTTAATATTTAAAGGCTCACAGATCTCCATATGAGAGATCTCGTTTCGGTTAGTTGCAATGCGAAGCAGCAGATAGCAGACAGAACCTACGGTTAAGCGAATTTCAAAAACAACTATATACTTGTAATGAGACGCAGGTGGATTCTGATTTGCTTTACATCTTTCGTATCTACATAAATATATTCATTCGCATTCATTGAAGTGTGTGCCCTTTGTTTATACGGATTGTATCATGCATGTCAGAAACATCTGCATAATTCGATGCTAAAACAAGATTGATAAGACCGAAATAAGCAAAGCACATATGGGAATGTTCTAGATCGATTTCAGCAAAAAAGGCACGAAACTTCCACTCCAGGAGAGCCTTGCATGGTCCTCATAAGTATGTCTGGTTTCCGTGGCGTAGCATGTCGATATACCGACATGTAGACTTTCGCCGTAAACAATGAAACTAAGCAGCTTCGTGTGAAAATTGTGATGACGCTTCACTCTGCTGACACAGCAGAGTCTACTGAACATTTTTGACGTATGACCGGAACAAAGAAAACTGCTAGCCCCAGATCGAATAATTGGACAAAGGGGCAGACCAGAAATGAAAGAGCGGATATATGACCAAAAGAAGTTAGGATTAATTAGAATCATTGCGCTCCTGATTTCTTAAACTCGTGAAGTGGACCTAAAAACTTTTACCCATCGAAAAACAGTTCATCAAAAACTCACCAACTTATGGAGCTCTTGACTGTTGGAACACTGACTTTACTTGAGTATGGGTGCTCTTGGGTATGAAAGTGAAATCTACACACCTGTCTGTTTAGAGCAATTGCGTTTACAGTTCATTGCCTTCGAGTAAATCGATAGCAGGTTCTGTTTCGCATCTCACTTGTGACTTAATGTTAGAGTTAATTAGCTTCTAAGGCTTTTAAATAATAATGCAGCATTTACCATCCTGCTAAGGTGTTCCTTCTCTGAAATAAATATATATATATTTTGGTCACGCACATTGCAGGATGAGGTTTGCGTTGTGAGTAACTCCGAGATTCCTACACAGAAACGTAGTTGGTGTGTCAGTGTCACGGAATTTTCCTCATAAAACATGTACTATAACCGGCATTGGATCTCATTGGTGTCATTTTTTCATACTAATTTTCGCCATAAATAATGTCTTACTACGAACAGTACAGATTAGAGCTTTTATGTTTCGCCACTCAATAACAGGCCAAAGGGTCACACCAAAGACGTCTATTACTTCCTACCTGCATCAAATCTGTTATGCTCACATCTAAGATCAGTAGACGTAACGTTTCAAAATTTATCACCATCGGGTAAAAAGAAATATGGCGTAAAATATACAGTAGCACATTCGCCTTAAGTGAAGCCAACTACGATTTCAGTTTTTAAACGCTCAATTATTTTTTTTACGGAGAGGAGTGGATCTGGGTTATAATCTTCAGCCGAACAGCTCTCGTACACGTCCACGTCGATCGCGGTGCAATTGCGTCATATAGTCTTCTGTGGAATGATTTTGATCTTCTGGTACTTCTTCATTATCCTCTATCATAGCCGGTGATGACCGCTTTCCTGCAATTTGCAATTAATAGTTTTTGCAAGAAAAAACGGTGCACTTCATGTATAAATAGCTCTGCGCTTCTTCTCTATTACAGAATATGCACGGGTAGCACCCGTAGTATGCGCTGAAAATATTTCATTATTCAGAGCCTTCGTTTTTATCTAAACAACAGTCTAAAGCGATTTCATTTGTCAATTTGATTCCCGAAGGCAATCATATGTGTTCTCTTTGTCGTGAAAAACTATAAAACGCAATCTAGGCAATTTCTTGGTCCGCTTCTCATTTACATTCGTCGACAAGTCCCTAAAACGTCAAATGCAAGTCATTTAAAATTGCCTACGGCGATGTGAATCTGATATGATTACATTGCAGCTAGCGATAAACAGCATCATCTTTACGTGCATACTAGGATTCTGTAGAATTTTCTTAAACGAAATGTGGGACTCTGATCCATTTCGTGAGAGCACGCATATCATATCATTCACTATCACAGTGACGCAGACGCGTTTTCGCGTCAGCCTACGGTTAGTCAAAGGCGTCTTAAAGCTAGCGAGACAATGCGGTCGCAGTTCGGATTCTGCCTGGATTTTCGCTATGATATTACTACATACAACTAATGTACCCATGATATTTCGATCGTGGGTTTTCCGAGAAATCTGTTTTTATGCAACCCGGTTAATGCCGAGGAATACTTTCCTTCTTCTATGAAATTTCCGTAGGAGATTATCTCACGGTTCTACAAAAGTAATCATTATCTCACAGTCCTACAAAATGTCCATTAATATCTCCTGCTATGGTAGTGAGAAAAGGACGTTTTTCCACTCAGTCTTGATCTTCTGATGTCACTTGTTTGTAAATGATTGACTGAAGACCCGAATAGGGTTGCTACTGTCACTAATTTTCAGCAAAATCTAATTGCATTGCATAGAAATTGGCGAAAATTCTGTATCATTCGCGATTTCAAAGGGTTTGACTGGATTTTTTAGGGCCAAGGGTATCAGAATTTTACGGTATCTTCATTTGAATGTGGATTTGTGATTTAAAGAAACTTAATCTTGAACGTTTAATTAAGAAGAAGAAATAGATTTCCGCCACCAGTCAGCAAAAAGCGTCTTTTGCTGGGAACCGTTCCTCCAATCCAGTAATAGTACTTTATTCGTATTCGTATTCATTTACTACTCTATGACTCGACTTCAGTCACAGTGAACATCACAGCACTTCTTTCATTTATTTCGTTGCCCCACATTCACCACATCCACGATGTTCTTCGTCTTTCCCTACGAGTTTCTAGCCATCTGAGGGCTACGTTTTCATGGTGGACGTCGTTGAAGTTGACTGGTCGAGTTGATACTCCTTCGAACCAGAGGATCACTTTGCTGCAGCATTGCCAGGTTTTCACTACGGGCATTTACTGACTTTTTTGGATCGAAAGAAACTTTCACAGAGAAATATGGCGCAGATTTCCTTACCCCACTGAGAGGTTTCGCTTTGAGGTCTCTGACCAATGAGATCATCCGCAAATAATTGCGCTATTAATATAAATGATATTTGTTTTAGCGGTTTGGTAAGTTTTCAAAAGCTACATGTTTTGTGTCGAATGCAGAAGTAAGAGCAGTTTGGTAATACAGGGTCATCGAACTTCTCCATGCAATGAAGCTAACTCTCGACCCGTTACGTCACTACATGAGAGCTTGCGTTAGCGCTTGAAAAATTTTCTCGTTTCCTATCAGGAGTAGTATGACTTGATAATCAAAAGCACTGAAGTCATAACCAGCTAAAAAATGCGGATTTTAGAAATGACTAGTCCTTTCAACCTCCCCTCTCAGTATTGCGCTTGTTTCGAAGGATTTCCATGCTGTAAATTAAATAGGCAGTTTAAAAATTTAATTTATAACTATAATGCAAAAACGAAAGTGATAGAGTGTCTTTCGTCGGTTAATCTCTTATGAAATCTGCATGCACTCGACTCCATTAGTAATAACCAACGATGATTTGCACATGCCTACTAATGTATGAATTCAACACTTTTTATGCTCCCATCTCAACCAATTCTGCTACCAATTACCTATTCTTGAGGGATGAAGTACCTAGTGAGAAAAAGCGCGGAATCGAACCTACAACCAGGTGTGTAATGTAGGGCGTCTTTAACCACTCGACTGCCTCACAGCTGTTCTAAAATTGGGCTTTTTGTTATGTGACATAATGCTTCGGTAAATTTTAACCTTTTGCTTTTTTATAATCTTGCATTTGTTATACTTTTTTCTAAAGTGATGAGTTGAGAAGACCAACATGTTCTCTATTTATTCTTCCGGCGCACTTAGCTACCCACAAGGTTCAATTTTGCTTAGAGAGACAAAGAAGTCTACCATATGCAACGAGACTCGTTAATCTTCACCGTTCTCGATTAGGAAGTGGCCGAGAGTAACAGTAAGTGGCTCTACTGCGAGTCTTTTTAACTTAGCTGAACTTACGGTTTAGAAGTGCTGAACTCTTGAGCACCGATCCCTCTGGCAAGCTACCGGGATATAATCATACGTTTAAATGAAACAATAAAATAACATACCGAATAATTCGCGAACACGTCGTTTTTCGGCGAAATTCGAGAACGTAAACGGCAACGAATGCATATCCCAGGATCTTCCTAAAAATTTGTCACGCATTATACCCAGAAAGCTAAGTATTGGATAAAACTTTATATATGAGCGATTAGAATATGATATGACATAATCTGAAGTAATTCGAAAACTTCGTGCTCGATAAAGATTATATTAGTACGCCTATGAAAAAGTTACACATTAATCGCATGTAGGAATTTTTGGCGTTCTCCTTACACCTTCTTCAGCGTCGAGGCATTTTTTAGTCGACGATTACAGTGGGTTACTTCATTTAGTTCCCTTTTCCAGTCCATCCCACGACTGAGTCCTTCATGTTTGAAAACTCTAATTATTTATAAACTGAATAAAAGCTGATTTTGATAGCACATTTGAATAAAGGGTAAAAAAGGGATAAAACTTTTCGAGTCGATCAATCCCTGAGGGATGCGCCATACATTCGATTTCATTAAGCATCGCTTGGACGTGATTGAATGCATATCTGGCCTTTACATTGACTCGCGGTGGCTTACCGATGTATCCGGCCAGTGCTGCTATCCTCTCAGACAAGTCTGCTACCAATTTGCACACCCCGGAGGGTTGGAGGGCTCGGCCGCCCTGGGGCGCTGGGAACAATCCCATGTGTATTGTAGAGCGCTTCCGACCACTGCGCTACACGCACCCTTTAGCACATTTGAATAATATTGTTTTCCCTGTGGCTCTATTATGGGTGGCAATTAGCTTTTGTCGTTTTTGTTCTATACTGACATAAATAATTTTTCTAATATGTAACAAAAGCACAGGGAGAGCTTATGAAAAATATACTGGATAATTTTTACCCGTTCTTATTAGCAGGAAATTTGGTCTTTCAGAATAGAAAACAATATTTTTCTCAAAATTCTGTAGAAAACCGTCACTTACACCACCGACCACATTATTTCATTTCCAAAAGAGAAATACTCTTGTTCATATTTTTTTCCTTTTTAATTTTAATAAAGTCCTCTTCAGCAAAATTGCTGTTAAGAGGATGACAGCTATGAAGGATACCCGGAATTTTCGTTTTCGTCCTGTTTCTCTTCATATTTCTGCATTTTTTTATTTACAAAGTTTACTTACTTGGATACTTTCACGGCCCATCCTCACTGGTTGTGTGGGCTCCAACATGTCCTCCACTTTTCGGAGTTTTACTGGTTTAGCCAATGTGCTTCCCCTGGAGTCCTGACGTCAGCCTGGCAAAAGTCTACCCCATGTCGTCACTACCACAGCTAGTTTCCTCCATTTTGAATCAAAGTGAGATTTGCCACTATGAGACTAGTCTGATTCCAGGACTGTGGTGTATCCTGGTATTGGTTTACTCTTAGCTGGAATTCCTGACAGACATGTCGGATTCCTTCTCAACATGGGAGACCCAGCCTGATGTAGGAATCCCCTCGCTCGCTGTATATCGCAGCTCGACACCCAGGAGACACCCAGGAACACCATCAAGCCACGATGAGGTGGTCCACCGTTGGGAAGATTTATAGAGTTTATGAAATTAAAAGAAAGTATAGAAATGGAGTGAAATTTAGAATACCAGCATTGTGGAAAATTTATTAAACTGATGTGGTTTTGAAGATATCGATAAGAGGAGTGAAAATTTCTTCAGTGAGAAGTTTTATAGCAGGGAAAGTAATTAAAATATCCTCGGATAACAACTTTCTAGACGTGTATAGAAGGTAAAAACATTGTTATTTTTAATTTTGCAGCCAATTATTAATTGTTTCCTTAGGTGAAAAGAATAAATAGACGGAATCACTCTAAGGCAGACTAAATTCGTTTCAAGCTTCAACCGTTGTAAAGAAAAAAGTTGAGAGGCACCATTTATCGTCGTTTAAAAAAAAGCGTTGCTCATAATATCCTTGTATGATTTTCATAGACGCCTCCACTGCTCGAATTTTTCGAATTCCCTTATCCTATCTACACTGGCTATTTGATGAGTTCGATGACGGTGTCGAAGGTGTTGTTACGATTTCGAATTGATTTAAGTGTTTTTTTCTTTTTAAACGTACCTCTTCTTCTCATGAGTTCTTTTGCTCGTCGTACGAAACCATCTTCACCGCTTGAAATTCGTATTCGTGGCTCAGCAGAGCTCAGTATGACAACAATGCTGAGTGTGCAGAAGAATATCAATAAGGGCTGCATTTTCTCTTGTTTGGCCACTTCGGTGACCGGTAAATGGCACCGTTGAGGCAATGAATTGGATGAGCTGCAGCTCTACGGCTCCGCCTTTTTGTATGCAGCGAGGGCGGGACCAGAGCCGAACATCAGTTGACGCGCACCTTCTGGAGAGGTTTTGGGCGTGTTCTGAGTGCATCTGAAGTAGTGTTGACGTGGGTGGCAGTGACGATAGTATCATCCATTTGCGGCCGTTCAGATTCTCACGCCTTCAGTGTGTTATCCAGTTAGGTGCTCAAGATGTGTTTTTGTTGATTTTTGTAGATCACGTTACCGATGAGTGGGAGGTTAGAGATTGCTTGCTTGCAAATAGTAAAGAGTCCCGAGTGGTATTTGGAATGTTCAATGGAACTCTTTCATGAAAATTTCACCATCCACTCCTTCTGCCCTTAATGGATTTCTTAATTTCTCAACCAAAATCCCTCACAAAAACCTCAGCAGGTGGTGAGGAGGTAATTTTCAGACCTTACACTGCTTCCAGAAGTCCTTCGCTACAAAGCTTGGGATAAAGTGCAATATGTTAATCGAATTCCAATCATCTTGGCGTTTAAACTAGGTGGCTTCATAAGTAAATCGTTCTTTTTGTAAATCGTTCGCGTTTTGAACAGTGCGATTTAAAAGCGGAACGTTACTTTAGACCGCATTAATTTATGCAATTGATTAAAAGCAGTCGTTGGTATGAAGCCAGGTTGACAGTGCTCTCAGATTCTATTAGTTCTCTTCTCTAAGGCTTAACAACCGCGTTAGAGTAAGAAAGAGAAGCGTTGAAACAATCGCCATTGCCCGATTTCTTAGGAAAGTATAGTGACTTTGAATCAGTTCGTAGCATCCATAAAGCTGACAGGTGCATATTTGGTTTACACAGTGATACAGTATGGCGTACCTAGGTATCAGTTCAATTTTTTTGTCGCTACCCACAATTCTAGTGCTATTCTCTGATCCTGGAGGAATTGAGGGGTTCCTTCGGAACACAGATTCGAATCAAAGAATACGTATATATTACAGGAACACTCAGTAATACCTTAGAAAAATAAAATAAACTGCTAAGGAAATGGGCCTTCCCACTACGAACATCGTTAATCTTCAGGCCTCATAAATGATTGTCATACCTGCACTCTGATTATTCATCGAGCAACATATCATAGTCTCCGTTCTACACGGCATTAGTAAAGTTTCCCCTTGTTCCTGGACTGCTGACATCGTCAATAGTCTCTTCAAGCTTCATTTACACGGAGAATGCCGCACTTTTTTGATAATGAGTATTTTTCCTGTCACTGGAAAAAAGATGAGCACGAGTAGAGAACCGGACCCTGTTCTTTATCAGCGTAACAACACAAGAAGAATTCTCCTCTCCCATTCACGTGTGACGTCATTAAGTTACAACAGACCACTTGAGAAAAAAATCCTGTGAACTGAGAAGAAAACAGCAGATGAAAAAAGCATAAACAGTGTCATAACGGCTAGTGAAATTTGTGTCAGTCAATTTTTTGCAATAACACTTCAAAAGCAATGAAGTAGAGTGGATGGTAATCCTTTTAGTATGAAGTCCATAAACAGTCAACCAATTTTCGAACCGCAATTCACATTTTTTTGTATAGAAAAAGAACCTGCCACAGAAATGCGCGTCGGGAAATTGCTACTGGAGTTGTCCGGAAAAAATCACTCCCTGTAATACAATTGGGAACGCTCCAGCACGGCTATCTCAGGACCCCAGAGAGAATCGACTCGTCCAGCATTTTACGACATTCAAGGTGAAATGGAAAATCCTCAAGCAGCAGCCGAACTAACGCCTTAAAGTTGGAGGATCTTGCCGACAATGGATGCGAAGAAACGAATCGAATGTGAGAAGTGCTGAGATCCGCACAATAAAACGTGAAGATGGGTAATATAAAAATAACATCTCGCACAAAAGTGTTTGCAAAGCTTTCTAGTCGTCGTTTTTGAAATTTGAATCTACGCAGTTCGCTTTAATCTTCTTTATGGTGTAGAAGCAACAACTATGAAAGAATCAAAATCAGCTTATTTCAGGAATATTTCACTTCTTATAAACATCTTTATATCCTATGGGTTGTTTTTTTTAATTATCACAGTGATAATGTTAACCTTTTATTCGCTGCTTGCTGCATATTTTCACGGCAGAGTACTACGTGCAATGCAACCACAATGATGCTTAGATATTTCCAAAATTCCGGCCCGTGGGTCTCTGAAGGACATGGTACTAGTATATAGAAAACTGGTTCAGAGACCGGCGAAACGAAGGACCCGCATGGTATAGTGGTGAACGCTCTACTCCCCGGAAAGGACAATAGCGCTTTCGTTCTCCACGGCGAACACCTGCGGTCCGAAGTTTGGCAAGTATCCCAGCATCGTTGTGGTTATCTCAATGATAGGTTAGAAAACGCGATCTCTTAGAAATGTCGAGCATGGGTCAGTCAGACGGAAAAAGTGAATATCTCTTAAATACATGCAGTTTCAATGAAAATTGATTGTATTCTTTCTTTGACGAGCTTACACGAGGTTGATAATGATGTTTATTTTCGGCTAACATTTCGACGTCTTCGTCTTTCTCAGAGCCGATGATCCGAGTCGATGGTCCTAAAAATTGAAAATTAATTTTTTTTCTTTCTTAGCTACCAACGTATTGTCTACAGTTAGTCCTGATTAGGTTTTCGATCGGCCGTGATCTTCTCTGACTCATAATTCCTACTGTATCTCCATTTCTTACGCCACGTCTGTTTTTTTTCTCGTTTTTTAATCCAGTCCTTGATCATCTACTGTAGTAAAAATTTTCATTGAAGGTAAGCGGAAATAAGGAAGACCTACGTGTTGTTTGTTTTCATATTCTGGGTGATTGC